CGTTGAAGTTGGCCTGCCTGCAGGGCTACTTCACTGCAGCTAAGTGTGAAGTTGGATATGCGGATTCCCAGCCAAGGGGCAGATATCAAAGTCTGGCCCAGATAGAAGGTCTTAGAGTTTGGATGGAGAAAGAGATTCCACCTTTTACTTACATCTGTATAGTTTCTAGTGTTGAAAACAGATGCAAAGCACAACATGTTACGTTTTATTTATTTCAAAGCAGATGCATACTTCTGCACCTTGGATAAACCAGTGATTTGCAAAATATACATAAGTTATTTTAAAACACAATGAGAGAATCGGTACTATGACGGGTATGAAATTAGTTACTCAAGAGAAGTAACCAACTATGGAGCCTGTAATGGGAACATTTTTAATGTTCTGATATTAAGATGTATGTCTTCGCTAAGGTACATAGAAAAATAGATGTTTATTAGTTACTGCACCAAAATATACCTTTGTTTAAAACTTATATGAGAAAAATACTGTCCTAGCATGTAATGTAAAGAAATAGAAACAAATAAGTGATATCTGACATATTAGGTGACTGTCCTCAATGTTTCACCTGTACTAGAAATTTAGATATCAATCCTTTAACCAGGTTGGAAGCACACTCCGTAAGCAGTAACAATCAGAGATCACTGAAGAGTAAAACCCACTTCGTATTTTACAACAAAGAATTTTCTGAAAGAAACATTTCACTGAGTGTTGATTTCTGCATCCTCTGATATAGGAGTGCAAATACTTTATAATATACAAGACAAGTGCTTTTTAGAGAAATTTTTTGTAAGTAAATTTTAAGATGTGATAGTTTTTCTAAATTTCTAAATCTCTGTAAGACTAACCTTTTAGTAATGCATCACATCTGTGTCATCAGAGAATAGTGTGACAGAAAGATGCACCTTAAGATAGATGGACAATTTTTTTTAAAACATTTGATTAGAAATCTTAGTAGCCTAATATGCATTTTCACAAACTACTGCTTCAGCACTATAAGCCAAGATTTTCAAACGTTTTAACAACTTTGGGTATCTCAATTTTTGCATATTCCTAAAGAATGTCTGGTATTCAGGGTGAGTACTCAGCATTTACTGAAGGCTGTTCTGCTTTAGGGAATTCAAAGCTGGGACTCCCTTGCCACACCCTGTCAATACTTTTAAAATCCTGTCGGCCAGTATTAGTATCATGTTGCTTTCATGATAGATGAAATTTTTCAGTCTCCTCTTTGACTGTGGTGCACTTCTACTAAAGTCCATAGCCAACCTCCTACCCGGATGTGAAGGCTGAATGAACCAGCAGGTCTAGAGTGGCAGTGTTAGTTGCCAGCAGAAGGGCTTGAGGACAGCACTGAGAAAGGACTTCAAGAAGGTCTCCTGTTCAGAGTAAGAGGAGTGTTGTTTTTGTTTGTTTGGTTGGTTTTTTTCCCATCCAAAATTTCCCATATGAAAATTTTTCTGTTTTGGCTGGCTAACAATGCAAAGTACTTGCCTGTCATAGTTCTATCTTCCCTCCCTCCTCCTGACTTGAGTGAAGATTATTTATTTCATAGCTGAAAAACCTGCTAAAGTTCAAGAAAGTGTGTCCCACTGCTCCGATGTCAGGCTAAGCTCCAGGCTAAAGACAGTCATTGTGCTGAGTGCACAGAGGAGGTTAAGAACAATAAGCAGTCGAAGAAGTTTGCAGCTTGGGGATGCAACAGGAGATCCGTCCAGCTCAGCCACAAGTCTGCTCTGCCTGTTGGCCAGCCTGTACCAAATAATAAAAAACTATCTCTAATGATAGTCTGACTTTAGTGCCTCTTCCCATGGTACTGTCAGACTCTTCTGCTACATCCGAAATTTTATTAATACTAGAGAGGATGACAAATAGATTTCAGGTTTGTCGAAATGAATATTCCTGTAGGAGTTAAAGGAATAGTGCTATAACCAAGTATTAACATCCAGCATGGTCCCAGTTTCAGTCCTGAAAGGCTGCCGTCCTGTGTTACTGCTTTCATCTTGTACAGCAAAATTAATCCACCTTCTTCCAGAGGTTTGCTGTTCAATAACAAGACTCAAAAAAGCTCAAGAATTTTGAAATTACTCGGAAATCTCTTGTATCATTGTGCAGTGTCCCAAGCGTAGTCAGCTCAGGATTCCTGCCTTCCGACTGAGATTCTGTACTGGGGAGGGGGAAGGAGATTGTGCAGTAAAAGCATTGGCTGACAGTTAAGACTCATAGCCAAAAGAGATCTATGACACTCAGGTTTATTTTATTACAGTAATAGTGAAGGTTTGTCACTAATTGATCTCGCCTCTTGCATTATGTTGGGAAGAGAGTTTCTGAGTAAACTGATTCAGTGACTGTCCCTTGGTATATTCTCGTAGATCCTTTCTTGCATTCTTGCATAGTAGCTACATAAGCATTTTGGTTAAATAAATGGTAAAAAATAAGCTGCAAAAAGCCACCAGTCAAGACACCATGTGGGTGAATGGATTTTGCAAGTGTACTTACAGGGATTAACAGGTTCTAAAGCCTTATACGTGCTTTTGAGTAATGATGCCCGTTTGCTACAGTGTTTTTCTGAGCAATAAATCTTCTTGACTGTTTTATTGGAGCTTTGAATTGTAATATACTGTAACAAGTAACAAAGCAACTCTGAAGGAAGGCTTCCTACTTAACAACTTAACAAACAGTTTAGGTCTGAAATTGGTTTTGAGGTGATAAAAGTTCACTTCAGAAAACAAAATCAGAGTTACCCACAGGCTGGGATTGAAAAGATGTGAAGTAGCTTACTGGAGGTAAACAAAGCTTCTCATGCTTTTCACGGGTAAATTTCTTGAAGGTCCTCTTCTGCTGTTCTACCTACAGTAAAGTTATCGATACACAGCTGGTGAAGAGAGGAGAAAGAATACTCTGTTTCCACTCTGTGATAGCTTTATAGGTTTCAATCCTTCAAGGTCTTCTACTAAGACTTTATTTACTGTATGCAGTTCTATTGAACAGATGGAAATCTTCACAAAGATAAATATGTACATACAGGATTTGGTGTTGTATTCTCCAGATAAATTACACTCGTATTCTCTTTACAAAATGTTTACTTATTTGAGTCTAATTTCAGGCTTGGGGGTTTTGGATGTTCTTCAGTCTTTCCTGTTTTCCATGCAGGCAGTCAGAGGTGTTGCACAGCAAGCTGCTCATCTCTACTAATACTGTGTGCCTGTTGCTTGCACTGTGTCCCACCTGCTGCTTCTACAGGAGCTTGTTTTGGTTTGCATATTTGTATTATATGTTGGCGATTATTATTTCTTACAGTAGTTCATGATTTCCAGCATTCTATTCTCCAAATTATTGGGAGTTATTACAGGCTAATGGTTTTTCCTGTCAGTGGTATTGTATTTTATTTATTGGCTGCCAGAAGCCATATGATGGCTTTTATAACTACATTAGTCAAAATACACTTAGCATATTTAAGATTCAAATAAAAAGTATATTATAGATTATTTTGATTTAATATATTTCTTTTCAATCCAGCAATCTGACCACTGTCTTCAGAATTAATGATCTCTTCTTGAGATATTAAGCTCTTCTTGCCAAAGAAGGGGGATGTCTAGTGACATAGTTTTTTGTATTGTTAAATATGAAAAACTTGTACATTGCATACAGTTTACAATGTTTCTGCAAGGGTTGATGAAAAAAGGTTCAAATAGTGCCATGCAATGTTTCCTTACTTAACTTCTGGACTTCCTGTTCCTGTACACTTAAATTAATCTTCTGAAAAGTTAAAGGGATGTGATTATAATTTAAAATCCTTCTTGGTCTTTTTGTAAAAAGCAGGAAGGAAACTCTCTGATGGCAGATCTGAATATGCAATCTGTGTTACTTTTGAATAATCATAGTGATGAGGTTGCTCTGCGTTAAATGCAATAATTACAGATTTTTTTCAGTAGTCGTTCCTAATAGTACTAGGAGGGAAACTGAACCAAATTTGACACATTGTGATAGAAGGGTGAATCACAAGGTATTGGCTTTTTTTTTTGTTGTTTGGTTGTTTTTTTTCCCCCACCCAATGCTATAAGAGATAAAGGAGCATTTGGCAAATCTACTGAAAAGCATTACGGAGGAGCTTCAGGGTTGATTAAGTTGTTCTTGCAAAGGATTGTAAGCATTTTAATAACTTGTTGTGAAGCAGGTGTGTTCCAGAATCACAAAACGTGTAGGAGATATGCACAACTTAACCTTCTGAAGGGGCATCTATTTTATCCAGACTGTGTTAAGTTCTAATGTCACCTGAGGCATATCAAGTGAGGAAGATAAACCTGCAACTGTTCTGCCAATTTGGAGGCAATGAGAAGTGAGGAAGCTCTTTGGGTTGCTGCTGCTGAATATATATATACACTGTAGAAGGCCTGATAGATTATGGTGTTTGTGGAAACGTGGGGTTTTCTAGTCATAGTGATTTGTTCATTCCCAAACAGAGACTTCCATGAACATATTTGTTAATTATGTGCTTCGTGCTACAAAGGAAAAAGATCAGTGATCTAATCCTAAGAATAGATACTGGGACATAGACCAAAGGTTATTTATTCCAGTATCATGTCTCCAGCATTGGGCAAGTGAAGTAACAGGGCCAGCATAACATGATATTTCCCCAGAATGCTTTCCCAGCTTCCAATTTTAAAAATCAGAGATTTCCTCAGTCTAAGGTGGAGACTTTCTATTGAATACCTCTTAGTGGGTTTAATTTGTTTAGGTACTTTCTGAATGCCTCTGTATTGGTAGAGGTAGGAGGAGGTTCTGCAGGTTAGCTGTGTGTTATAAGGAGAATCCCTGCCTTTTGTGTGTTGGAACCTGTTACACAGCAATGCCGTTTATTCCTGGCTAACTGTTGTATCAGGAGAGAATGAGCAAGCAGTCCCGATTTACTTGCTTGGTGTGAGTTTCAGCCTTCTGTGGTTTGCAGGCATAGCCCTTCAAAAGGACAGGAATTTTCATTTAAATGATGTATAATGGGACTAAACACATATTTACAGTTGTATGTTAAAAGCATCAGAACTTTAATCTGCTCATCAGTTTTTCTGGATGACAGTACAAAATGTAAAAATCACGAGAGTATGTTGCATGCATGCTTGCATAAAAATGTGTGAAGTGTGTGTCGAGAGAGGGAGGGCTTGAGTGTGTGTGTTTATGCAGAATTGCTATGTTTGGCTAATTTTTGCCACTCTTATTAATTTGAATGTGATAATGCAGGAATACTAATTGACAGGATCGTTGGCTTTCTTACATGTTATTTTCCTTTCCTAGCTGCGACAATTAGTTAATATGTGCATCAACCCGGATCCAGAGAAGCGACCAGACATAACCTATGTCTATGATGTAGCGAAACGTATGCATGCACACACTGCGAGCAGCTAAACAGACATCAGATCGTGAAGAAAAAAGCAGAAATAACCAAGTATTTTAAGTAAATCATCCCACCTCTTTGTTTGTGTGTTACTGAAATGTAGTTATTTGAAGCTTACTGTTGTGCTTTGAGTTGTAAACCAATTTATATACAAGCTTTGTTGTTTTCTGTTCATTTCTACTTTTTGTATTTTTTACTAATTTGCAGTTTTACAACAGGTTTAAATATGTAAAGCGTGACTTAAAAAGATACTGAGAAGCACTGTTTTCTGTGTGAAGTGGGTTCAAGTATATTTTCTTTAATAACAAAATTGTATTCAGTTGGGCCTCAGTTCTAAAACATAGTTGCACTTTTGCACACGATACAGATATTAGGCTTATTATCCAGAAGCAAAATGTCTGAATCTCTCACCTTTTTAGTAATTTATGGAAAGTATGAATCAGCACAGTTTATTTTAATCTTTGTTCTAAGAGGGACATAATTTTTATAGAAGTTTATTGTATTTTATATTAAATTGCAGTTTGCAGTTCTCGGCATAAGACTGCGATATGATTAGTTCTCTGCTTGCCAAATGTGATGGGAATATAGTTTCAGGAAAAATTACCATGCTGAAATTTTTGTAACATCCCTTTTGTTTTGTTATTCTGTCGTAATGCATGTAAAACATTTGTTGGAGGTTTTCTGGGAAAATTTAAGATGTTGATCCTGTAATCTGATCGTTTTCAATAGACTTGTGCAGCACTGCCCTGGGGCATGGTTAAGTCTTAAAACCACGCAGATGCTTCTTGCAGCAAACAGGGTTCTTTTGAGGCTAGTGTTTATGAGAAGGTCTGATTAGAAGATGCAGTATTTAAGTTACAACTTCCCAACTGTTTATATATGTGTCACTGTAGATTTTTGTGTTCAAAATAATTTGAATGACTTACGATATATTTAGATTTTAAAATGTGTTGGTTTTTTTTTTTTAAATACAGAAACCTTTTGGGAAATATATAATAGTGTAGTATATCACAAAATGTATTCTTCATGAATATCTGGTTTTGTATACTCTATCCTGAGAATTAGTTTTATATTTAGCGAAAGTAAATTTTAGCTTTTATGTTTGAGAGAACAGTTGCCGCTCTTTCATTTGGGAGATAATTATATATGCCAAATGTCTTACAAAAACTTTATTAGTTTAAAAGGAAATTCAGAGTACTTTTGTTAGACCTTATTATCTTTTTGAGTATGCTGAAGTAATATTTTTATTGTTAAAGAAGGAAGATGTCTTCTTTTTAAATGTGGTAAAAATGGAGAATGGACTGAAATTTCCTGAGTTTCAATACTGAACTTTTTATACAGAACTGTCAAAACATAATTAATACCGGTGGTATTGCTAAGAAGCTGTTACGGTCAGTTAAATCTTTCTCCTTATGTGGGTAAAAGGAAGTTAGTTCAAATAAAAGCAGTGGTATGTACATACACATACACACATAGGTTCTAGATGTGGTCAGTTCCCTGCATGCTCAGATTTTTTTTTCCTCTGTGCAGCTATAATTTTGATTTGATATAGTGCTCAAAGAATAAAAATCCAGCTGCGGGGTTTGTGGATGAACTGTTCAAGCTAGGACAGGGTTTTTTCTGGTTATGTATTCTTTAAAGCTACAAAGACTATCAAAATTGTGTTTGGCAAAATACAGGAGTTTTTAAATAGTGTGTGTCAGATCATCAGCTTATCTGGATACTTTTTTTTTTTCCTATTTTTGTTTCTAGTTTTTGTAGGATGAATCCTTAGTTTTCCATGTAGCTTCTGTGTATACTTAATCTTGTAGGACTTCAGTGGAACAATTTGTAGGGAGGAAGTATTTGAGAAACCTTGGTTTGTGTCTAGCAACCTAGATTTGTTTTCATTTATTATCTGATTATTGAATTTTTAAAATGATGGTTATGTTCTGTAACAATAGTTCATATGTCATAGAATGAAATGGTTTGTATTGGAAAAGGCAGCACAATACTTGCTTGACTGCCAGGATTAGCTCTTAATATGCATAAGTACTCAAACCATTTTATTTTTTTTCTGAAATGTACTAGAACATTTAAAAATCACTGAAAAAATCCCCAATGGAGTCAGGCTATTTGCATCTAATATTATGCATCAAGTATTGAACTTTTCCTGAAAGAAACCAATAATAGATTTTCCGTGCCACCTCCTGTCTGGAAGGATACATTGAATAAAGAAAACATGAGTTAAGAGTTAGCAAATATGCATACTTAAGCATTGATTTTTTAAAAAATTTTATTTTATATTTTTAGTATTTATGATTAAACCTTGTGCTGATGGAAAAAAAATAGTTGCTTCTATTTTAAAATCTGTAAAATGAATGCTACAGATGACTCTGGTACCAAACTTTATAATTAAGAAGCCCATATGGGTTAATAGAACTGCTTATGTAACTGGGAATTGTAGAATGTCTCCCATAAGTAAAGCACTTAATAACATATGGAAATGATAACTCTGTTATAACACTCCCATGTATGCTATACACTTATAAATATTTTATTTTATAAATCACCATTCTATTTTTCATATGTTGTTGAAGGTGTCATTCGACACTATTTTAAACTATCGCATTATGTGTTTAATTTCTTTTCTAACCAAAATGTCTGACTAGCTCCTCTTTTTATTTGAGTAATGCTACAGTATTAACTTGCTTCATGAGTGAACTTTGTGCTTTGAATGACATTGCACAGAATCTTTGTCTTGTCTTGAAAGCTTCCCTGCTGTGCAATAGTCTAATGGATATAAAACATTCAGATATTAAATACAATGTAAAATTTATGGTGTTTCTATGATATTTTTTCAAACTTCTCTTGTTACAGATCTATATATATATATTACAGTAGATGCTACCTATCTTGTGGACAGTTTACTGCTTCCAGTAGTTGATTATAGGCGAGTTTTCTTGACTGTAACAAAAGACATTTCATTAAAAAAATATTTTTTGTACTATTTGTCAAAAAATGATCTAAAAATACTACATCAGATATATTCACAATTAACCCCAGAGGATGTTTTTATCTAAAACTTAAATCTAAAACTATTTTCAAACCATATGAAAATATCTGGAAAGCATAAAAATAATTAAAAGTTATAGCTCTAGTCCTGTGAGCTCTTGTTTACAGGCAGGCTGTTTTTTATGTAATTTCAGTAATTTTGAGTGAACCGCATATACACACTTGAATAAATAGTAATGATTAGGGTATATAGAAATGATGTGCTTGGCTCACTTTTTGTACTTCTGTATGTTGCTGGTTGGGTTGCAGAGAATAATGTGGGGTTTTCCCCCCTCTTCTGTTACACTCTAATGATCAGCTACCAATTGTACAAGCAGGCAATAGAAGTATGTCATCTTTTTGTAATGAGCAGAAACTTAAAAAACATGCCAATATACTGGAAGATGAAATACAGTATTAGAAGTGTCTGAGAAGGCTGGTGTTTTATTCATGCTCATGATTAAGAAAGCCATAGAGAGAAATTCTTGACAGAGGCTTGGAAATGGAGAGAGACTTCTTATGCCAGTGGTTCTCAGATATCTCTGAATGGGACCTAAAATCGCAGTAATGTCTGTTTTCAACAATCTGTCCGCTTAATCTCTGTCTTCGCTGTTATACAGCGAGGTGAGAATCTTAATGGCTGGATTCGAATGCTGGTGGTGAATGCTGCATCAGGTATTTGAGCTTCTAGAAACAGGAGGTTGATGTGAGGGAGAGTCAACACAGGCCTTCAAGTCTTGCTTTGTGGAGAGTTAATTTAATCTGGAAGTAAAGGTGCTGAACAGCAGAGTTCAAATCACTGCTTTTCCATAATTTTAAATACTCTTTAACAGTCAAAAGTTTTTCCAACCCTGCTATATCTGCACATCATCTAGCCAGTGGCAGTGCTGGTCATCTGAATTTCTGATCTCTGGTTTGGTCTGGGTGAATAACTAAACTTTCTTCCAAGATCACCCAAGGAGGGGAGATACAGGCGCTGGGCCTGCCTAATGGGGTGTTACTTATGTTTCTGAACATGACACAAATAGAGTTTGTTTTTTTTTAAGGTTCTTTTTCAAACTTTACTCCATTCCCTGAACTTTGTTCTTCAGTCGATGCTTTTAAAAAATTGTTCTCCTTTCATAATCACTTCTGAAGTCCTACGATTCCTGTCTTTCACTGCTTCTGCTTCATCTGTCCTGTTGACTGCTCTGCCCTCTTCCTGATTTGAAGTCCTCTGTGTCTAGTTTTCCTAGTGGCCATAAGTTTGCTTCTCTCTTTGTGACTTTGCTAAATTTAGCCCATTCTGTCTTCTCAAATGTTATCCCTCACCATAAGCAAGCCCTATTTCCACCCAAGTACTTAACTCTATTGTTCTTCATTCTGTTTTTCCAGCCCAGTGCCTTTGATCTCTAGTTTTAGACAGATTTTCTCACTGCCTCAATCATTCCCATGACCTCGTCTTTACTAAATACTGTTCACTTTATTATCTCTCATTTCTAAATTCCCTTTCTCTGATCACTACCTGCTCTCTTTCAGCTTATCTGTCTTTCTCTCTCCTCTACCCTGTCACTCACTCCTTTTGGGATCTCCAGTCTATTAACCTTTCTGACTCCTTTACTCTTCTCAGCTGCCTCCTTCCTTCATTGCCCTCACTTCCTTTGACTCTCTGGTCTATATTTTCATCTCTATCTGCTTCTCTATACGTGGTTTCTTTGGTTGCTTCTCACATTGCCCATCTCAATTCCTCTCCCCAGACATTATTTCTTGTAATTTCTATATTCCATTCCTGCCTTTCTGAGTATCTCTGCAGAGTATGTCAGCACAACACGGCTTTGGACTCAGCTTTGCCTTACCCGTTTTAATTCTCTTTCCAAACGGACTTTTTTAACAGCTTTTATCCCACCTGGTTTTTTCTTGTTGAACTTGCTTGCAGACTTGCTGTTAATTTTATTTCTCCATTCATTCTTGACACAAAATGTGTCTTCAAAACCAATCT